GTTATTATAGCACTATAACTAAGCCATTTATGAGTACTGAGTGGTGTGGTAGAGGCCTGTAGGCACCCACGCCAGTAGCGCTTTTCTGCCGCTTAAGTACATTTTATACGGAACTACTTCAAATATTTTAAAAAGTAATCAGTGTTTTAGAAAGAGAAATGTATTCTCCAGATGTTTTATTTCAGCACGTTTTGCATTATTGTTGACCGTTTAATTACAAACGACGCTTGATTTTCAACTTGAAAATTTTTTTGTAAAAAAAATTGACTTTACCGATTTTTTTTAATGCCTAAGCCAATTAGTTTTTAATATTTTTTCATGTTTTATTATTCTCTGACTATCCAGCTTTAATAAAAGACCAACTATAATGAAATTAAGCCAAATGCTGATTCTCAGTAACAAAAAAACTAACTAAAGTCAAAGTCGTCAATCCGCCATGTTTGGACGCCATTTTGGGGCAGTTCGTTCACTTTTTTTTGTGGGAACATTGGCTTTTTTTTAATAAATTGTCACAAGGAACACAACGATATGCAATTTATAGGGATGTGGGGGGGGTGCACGGTAAGGGGGTCTGGCCCACAGACTATGAGTCCTGTCCACCCAGGTCGCAGTTTAACGTCATGCCCGGGACAAAATTTTTTTATTTATACATTTGTATATATTTGTTCAATGTAACGGGAAATATTATTCACTAGATCCGTCTATTTTTTTACGGTGATCCTTTTGTCATTTTTAATTTATTTTTAATACTTATGTAAACAAATATGTAAATTTGGCATGCTTGATGTTTGCATAAGCAAATCTTTACTCATTACATTAAATTCGGCACTTAAACTTGAGCCCTTTCAAAATATTTCAATGAGGAAAAGGCCTACCTTATATTAAAAAGTAATAAACTTTTAGTTTATGAACTCGAGAGAACAAAAATAAATGATTTGCAGGCGTTGATGGTTTTATACCTTAAGCCCCAAACTAAAAAACAACTGATAAAGTTCACATTGATACAACGAGCTTAGTAAAAATGATTAGAGCGATTTACAGAAAAATTGTAAAATATATTATATAAAGTCCAAACTTCGAATTAGCCGATTGCGGTGAAAAATTGCAAGGCATTAATTACACAATTTCAGTTTCGTGCGATCTTTCGTTTTTGAGTTAGGCTATTAAGAAACCCAATCATTTGGCAAGATTTGGTTATTTGGACTTAAATTAGAAATTTATCAAATATATGCCCTTTTTACATATTCCATATAAAGGTAAGTGAAGTGTTGAGTTTGTAGTTCTACTTCGTACAATATTTAATGCATTTTACTCATCCACCCTTTTTTGGGGGAACAGCCTTTAAAACTTCAGAAAATGGTGGATATGGTAAGAAGAGTAGGAAATAATAAGCGGCTTAGGGCAGGATTGTGGTTCCAGGTTTCATTAAAAATATAAAGGGTGAATCCTCCTTGCAGCTCTACCAGGAAGGGGAGGGTTCCCGACGTAGAAGGCTATACCCTACTTAACAAAGTGAGGGGTATTTAATGAGGGGGGCTCAAACTACTTAAAGCCTAAGGTAGTTGCATCGTGGGTTTACTTACTCCTTGCTGGATACATTCCTCTATATACTATGTGTGTATGAGTGTATATATATATATATATATATACACGTAAAAGTGAATAGCTCACTTTTATTCTATAGTAATATAATTAAAAGAGAGTTATAGTTATATATATATATATATATATATATATATATATATATATACGTAAAAGTGAATAGCTCACTTTTATTCTATAGTAATATAATTAAAAGAGAGTTATAGTTTTATCATTTAAATTTTCACATATTACATAAGAATTAAAAAAACCGACTTTTCTTCAATTAATTCACAAATTATAAATATTATTCATTATTATTTATTACTTATTAGTATTATTATTATATTTGTAATTAATATTGAATACAATTATTCTTCAGGGATTAAACGGCTTAAAGTATTTTCAAGAAATTCATCACCACATAATAATTTTTTTTTGTTCTGAAGTTTAAAGTTGAACTTCTACGATCAGGGCAATGCAAGATAATACGAAGGGTTTCTTCTACAATTTATGAAATTAATAACGGATCACGGCGTTCATACTCTATTTTTGTTCATAGCAGTAAATTATTACCATTTCGAGATGTAAAAGTGAATTGCTCGTTTTTATTTTAAATTATGATAACTTATAAGAGTAGTTGTTTTTATTTTATATATGTTATTTATTCACATAGAATTAGATGACAAGTGTGTGAGCTTATAAGTGCAAAATTAATTTATATTTTAATTAAAAGAGAGTTATAGTTTAACCATTTAAATTATCCAATTGTACATAAGAATTTAAGAAACAATGATTAAAAAATTGTAAATATTATTCAGTATTATTTATTGCTTATTAGTTTTTATTTGTAATTAATGATGAATACAATTGTTCTTCATGGATAAAACGGCTTAACTGTCTTTCATGATATCCATCACCACTGATCCAAAGAAGATCCATATAATATTTAACAATCATTTTTGTGGAAAATACTATTACAATAATATATCATTATGTGGTACCTGAAATAATTTAAAATAATTTTTTCATCTGATTTAATCCTAAATTAGATTTTGATTTCATATTTATTAATTAATTTCCTACTTCTTCTATTTCTATTCTCATATCCTATTTTAATTTGCGTAATCCAACGCAAATACGCTTTAAACTTTCAATTAATTGCAAAACTCATCTACATAACTATAGTAAGACCTATATGGACGTACGGAGTTGAACTTTGGGGCTTTACCAAACCATCGAATTCCTATCGTATCCAATCCTTACAATCCAAAACCCTTAATGCCCCATATTTTGTCACAAATAAAACCATTCATAAAGACCTTAATGTTTCATACGTCACTCATTTAGCCCTAGACAGATCCTCTATCCTTTCATGATAAACTCCAGTCCTATCCGAATCTACTTGTTTCAGCCTTGCTTCTTCCTCGATTCCTGATAATCCTCCTAGAAAAGAAGATGGCTTCGTGACCTTCTTACCTTAATTTAGGGAGTACTACCACTGGGTAGTATCTCTTCAAGCATGTTCATCCCAATTATTTCTGATTTTGCATATTTACTGGTTGTATTTATATACAGTTATAAATTTCTTTAAATAAAAATACGTAATTAGACAGGAAAATCTAGATTTATCTTAATATAGTATTCAATTTTACTTGCATGTTTTAGTATGAAGGTACACACAGAGCTGTAACATTCAATGCCCTTTATTGTAGTAGATTATATTATTATTATTATTATTCCAATTAAATGGGGCTATGTATAGTGTATAGTAACGTGCATGTTTAAATTTACACCGCGCCAACATCCAGCTTTTCATGCCTATATAAAACAAATTATTAAGGTTAGATGGAATAGGTAATCTCTGAAAGGCTTATAAGTACTGCTAACTAGTTTAAAATTCCTGACCTACGAGCTTCTTCATAAATTTGAAATATTTTTGTGATAAGCATTTTATATAAATAACATAGTTAATAATAACATATATATGTAAATAATTATTATATGATAATTAACACATAATAATTTTATGATTCTACCTCATGGGACAATTTTTTTGTATTAGGCTTACCTCGATGATAAATGAGTCCCTTCTTTATATTATGTGACTTACCGAAGACTTTTATATCTGTTTTTCTAAATTATTAAATAAAGTGGAAGATAATAAATAACTTTTTTTTTATAATAATATCAAAGGTATTGTACATATAGAAAATGTTTAGTTTCCCTCTATTCAGTTGTTATGGTATGTTAAAACCGTAGAACTTCTCTAAATTTCCGAAATTATCGTTTATTAGCTATGATAGAATAAATTAATAATACTATTTTTTGAAATACATATTTGTCAAACTAATGAACTGTTTTTACACCATTATCACAAGTAAAATACATTAGTAAAATATACTTAAATAACAACAATAATTAATCTAAATCAATGTAATATGTGATTTATTTTAATATAAACTAAAAATATATAAACCTCATAAAAAAGAGCGCTAGTATTGGATTGCGAATACTTAATTACTTTTTATTTGTTATATATTTTATTAATTATTTTCTATGAATTTATCAAAACAAAAAATCTGAATTGAAAACAAAAGGGCACTAATTGAACCTGAACTGTTATATTTCAAAATACTATGTTATAAGATTTAACAGATGCTAACCTCAAAAGTGGTCCGAACGTCAATGTTTCCATTACTGAAAAAAAAATGTAATTTCGATCAATTAAACGAATTAATTTAATGAATCATAATTTAATTTATTTTTATTAATTAATTACATCAGTTCAATATACCAATCTACCGTTTTAAAAAGCTTCTGAATATGTTTAAATTGGCTTTGATATGGTTTTTATATGGTTCATTATAATTAATGAAATTTAAAATATATGAGTCTTTCAGTTATGTATAGGTAACAGAATGACAACTGAAATTTCAACATTTTTAATTATTAATTTTAGTGATATTTCTCGTTAAATGTCAGTAAATTTATATTTGAAATGAAAATATACTTGAATTTATAGTTGAATGAAATTTATATTTTTATTCACAGTTCTATATTTCAGCACTGCAATCACCTACTCTTGAATCAATTACTCACTGGCAGTACAAATAATGCTAATTTTCCAACTTAAACGACTTTACTTAAAAACGTTGAAATTGGAGTTAGTCATTCTGTCAACTGAAAGGCTCATATGAAATTCAATAAATGAAAACTCAAATTAGCATTTTTTTTTTAGATCTTATATTATAAAGCCGATCAAACTACGCTTTGGTGTATTAACCCATCATCGTCTCCATTCAATTCATTTTTCATAATTTTACTTATTCTTCTATTATTTAACATTTAAAATTATTATCATGCATGATATAGATTGTATGTGAAGTATGTATTCGGGATCGTGGTCCAGGTTATAATTAAAATTGACAATTTTTTTTTATTATAGAAATAATTAAATACAGGGGAAAGGATAAAATATATCAAAAGTTGAGTAGTGAATTGAACTCACCTTAAACTGCCTATCTGTAAAAATAACTCAAGGATAATTAGACTAAATATTCTATTTACAATTTGTATACCTTAAACTACAAACTGGAATCAGTCTTCAGTCCATCAATATACACTATTGCCATTGCCGATTCAATTCGTTGATTTTTCTTAATGTTATAATAAATATTTTCAGGTGTAAAGGTTAGACATCCTTCTTTTTGATCCTTTGTTAGTTTCATACAAAGAGTTATCTTCGCATCTTAGCCCACTAAAAATGTACTCCAGGACACAAGCATTGCTTCATAGGCGGGCAAACTCCACAGAGCATGTTGTAAAAGGGTCTGATGGTCGTTTCGTCTACGAATGTCTGCTCGGTACTTTGAGTTGGAGGCGTGGTTTTTGCCGTCGTGCTTACAGTTGTGGATTTCGTGCTTACACTTGTGGTGGATACCGTAGTGGTTGTCTTGGGTGTGGTGGGTTTAGTTCCCGCCGGTCTACGTGTTGTGGTTCTGGCTCCTTTTGATTTATCACTTCCTGGTTTCGACGTCGATGGTCTCGTACCCGCTGGTCTTAGGGTCGGGGGTCTTCTTCCTCCAGGTTTTGGAGTTGTAGGTTTACTCCCTCCAGGATTTTGAGTAACTGGCCTTCCTCCAGAAGGAACTCCCGAACCACCTCCTAAAAATTAATTAGAATAATATTATTGTTAAACAATTCCTATACATTTATATTAGTAAATAATAATAATTATAATTATGATAGTTGGCAATTCCATGCAATCGACCAATAGTAGATGAATCTCATCTTCTTTGCACGAACTGAACTTACCGTTGATGACAATAAAAAAAATTCAAATGGCATTATTGTTGGGAACAGCAAGTATTGTTCAATTTAATTTAACATAAATTTAAAGATATAAAATAATCTTGAAAATATTTTAATACAATATTTTGCGATTTTTTATAGACTTTTAAATTTATACAGGGTCTTCCAAATTTAGCAATTCTTGAAATTTTGAACGTAACTTTAATTGGTGTTTAAAAAAATGACTTTTATAGATTTTGCTTTTATTTTTTAACCGTGCATACTGATTAATGAAATTAAAAAAAAAAATCATAAGAATCCATCAGTTCAATTTATTATAAAATTCTATTCACTTTTCTTAGATCAAGTGATTCATTAAAAGATCTTATTTAATTGTTATTTGGCAATGATTACTTCCAATTAGCAACAATTGAATTTATTTGTTGTATTATCAAAATTGCATGTTTACCAGTTTACGTTTCGGGATATTTACTCCCATCTTCAGAACCACAATTCTATGATCTTGTGGATACATGGCTTAAATCTAATATGCTCCATCGTCAGATTCTATTAGAGTCTAAAAGCAAGATGTTGCTCTAGATGTTATATACCTAGATTTATTATAACATAAAATAGAAACTGACGATGGAGCATATTAAATTTAAGCCATGTTTCAACAAGATCATTGGGATTTTGGTTCTGAAGATGGGAGTAAATATCCAGAAACGTAATAAATTCAATTGTTGTTAATTGGAAGTAATCATTGCCAAATAACAAAGAATATCATACAACTTCCCAGCAAAAAGAAGCTCTTATTTAAAGAGCACTGCTGATCTTTTTTTTTTATCATGCTTTCTGCAATTTATTTTTTTTTTCTCGGAAAACAAGATAATAGGCATAATATGAATATGAAATATGAATTTTTTTTAAAAATAAAAATATAATATTTAAAAATATATAACTTTATTGAACATACCAAAGAAAGTCCCGCCAGGGTACACAGGCGGCGGCCCGTGGTAGTAGGTTGGAGGGAAGTAGAAGACGAACTCCTTCACCCTCCTCACGAGCTGGCTGGTCCAGAGGATGAGGCACTCTGCTCTAGTTAGGAAAAGTTAAAGTCATTACTAAAATAATAATCAGGCAAATTAAAATTTAAAAAATATTTGTATATTTAAAAAATAAAACTCCCTTCTTCCTTTTAGTTCCCGGTGCCAGTGGGATTTTAAATCCTGGAATTAATCCCCCGCCTTCATCCTCTGGCCCGGGAAAACCCCGTATAGCCTAAAAGGCGAAGACGCGGATAGTGAAAAAAACAAGTAAACTTTCTGGGTCATGCGGAGTTATTCAACGTTTCCATTTAATAAGAAAGTGTTTCAAAATATAAAATAACTACTTAATTGATTATAAAATAAATAATTTTTTGTTTAAGGTAAATATTTAAAACTTGGTAAGTAATTACACAGAATATTCAAACTTTCTCTTTTTTTAAATGTGTTCCCCATTCTTGATTCGCCAATTCGCATTCGTTATTTACTAGTTGGCTCGTTCGAATAATTCGCTGACAATTTTCTGTAGTGAAGCAATAGCAAAACAATATGGAAATAAGTGTATCATATATATTGTGGCAGGGAGGAATTAATTATATTTCCTTGGTCGATTGCAATATCCTATTTCACATAATAGATCAAAATATTTGTACAAATTGCTTTGCTAGGACCTATTTTTAACGCTGGCTGGAATGGTAATATTCAAAATAAAGCCTGGATCATGTGATTTTCTAAATTATAAAAAATATAAAATGTACAAAACAAAAACAGTACAATTGTAAATGCAACATCTTTAAAGAGGGAGAAACTAGAATGAAGTATACTAAAACTAATTGACTGCATCTTTTTTAATAATTATCTGATTTTTTTTTATGTAGTTTAGTAATCTTTCTAATTATTATGTGCACAATTAAAAAAAAAATACAATTTTTAAGTTATTCGCAAATAGAGTTTCTTTTCTTTCATAACTTTTTTTCATATAATTTCCGGGGTAGGGGTTGTGACTATTTTTCCTACCTGGAGGTGAAGAAGATCTTTAAAATCATTAAAAAAAGCTCAATCATTGGATTTGATGAAGAATTGAAGAAATGATGGCCTTGTGACAAAATAATACCTTTTAGAAATAATATATAAGTTATTGTTTAGGCTGCGATGATAAGGAACGATGGAAGGTCTTGATGAATGAGCCTAGGTAAGATCTGAATTAGGTGGAAAACATATCATATTGTTGAGACCTCAGGTCTTTCAACCATAAAGTTTTTAATAAATTTGTAAGTCCAGAACTAGTTTTTCCGTTTCTTTTAAAACCAAAAAAAAAAAACATACATATTCATTATTATTGGTGTCTGAAATAAATCCAGACAAACCAGGTTTTTGCAACATCATATAAAGTTATAATTATAGAGTTTTTTATTGACCTATGGTTCTTTCATTCTTTCACGCGTTTGTCTTATTCTTCTACCATTCGAAACAAAAATATTTTCCACAGAAAAAAGTTGTGAAAAAACACGGAAATTTGGATCATGGCCAATCAATTATTTTATGAATAGATTTGTCATTTTAATTTATTTTAGCCTGTACTTTTCAAGCGTAGGACGTGGACGTTCCTTGAAATTATTCTGTTGAGGTGTACTCATGGACGAGAATTGGATTTTTAAGATGTGGTTCGACCGGTCTTCGCGTTTTCCTGGAGCCATTTCTTCTCTGACAGAATGCTGCTTCTCCTTTTTCGGCCCTCAAGAGCATCGTTCTTGCCTGAAGAAGAGGAAAACATGGAGCCGGGTTTCGCCCAGACCAGTTGACATTCAGAATGCCGTATTTCATTAACCGTCCTCGCTTTCGACAATTTACTACATAACATAAAAAGATATTTAATGGGAGTTTTGTGGTATGTGAATGAGCAATTATTAAGAGTCGTGGGACGAAATTGCTGCACGTACTGTTATTATAATAAACCTTGGAAATACTGTTATTGCATTATTTTTGTTTTTATAGGCCTTTCTGAACTTTTGTTGCTTATTGATTCTTTATCGTTAATCTATGTTTTTACAATTTGCAACACGGCTTTTGTTTTTTTTATGTATTCGTTTGTGTTTGAAGTGAAAACTTCTTTAAGCGCATTTTGCAATTTTTTGTGGAGAATGAATTAGATTGATCCTTCAGATTTCCAAAATGTTAACGCTCGAGTAAAGTCGGCTAGAGATTAATTGAAATATTTTTACATATGGATTAAAATAATTTGTAAACTGAAAATCAGGCCTGCATACTGTAAGCTAGGAAATTGTTCAGCATTTCATCCTCCATGAAATAGGCTACAATTCAATATTGTTTCTTAACGCAACGCCGTGTTAGGGAGGCGAAAAGGAAAAAATAGTGTCGAAAACAAAATTATAACGAGTTTTAAGCAAGATATAGAAAAAAATATCACAGAAACTAAAAATCAGACCTGCATACTGTAAGCGAGGGAATCTGTCAGCATTTCATTCTCTTTGTAATGAGCTATCATTTATAATTTATATTTCATTTTATTAATCTTGTTGATGTTTTCAGTTCTATGGTGTGGTCTGAAGCACACATCTTAATTTTTTAGCTTTTTAAGCAGTTAAATTTTATTTAAAATAATTTTCAATTTGTTCTTCTTCATACTTTTAAGTTACTATTCCTTGTCACTTAAGCTACCTTACTGTGGAATTCTTGTTTTAAATAACGATTTCCATCTGTCACAGATCACGATTTTTTTTTCTGCATTTATTATGCGGCGTGACGACCTACTTGTAGAACTCAAATCTGTCACACTATAATATTCGTCTTTTAGTATCCCTACTTTATAATTCTGCTTGGCCCGGAAAGAAGAATCATAAACATTTATTTTCCTATTTATTATTTATTTATTTCTAAATAAATAAATATATTGCATTGCTAAACACAGTCTTCTCATGGAATCTTAATACGTCAGACTGTCCATAAAATCCCTTTGACTGATTTTTTTTGTTTTTAACATAATTTGACCTGAACAATCCACAAAACATTTTTAATTCATTTATTGTATTATTTTTTAAAAATTATTTGTACAATTGAAATTTTACGCTTAAATACCATTTATTGGCAATCTGGATGACCTGATTTCTTCTCTTCACACAACATGTCAATTTCTGATTTATTGGATAAATGGATTCAGTGTCATCTTCCCACCAATTTCAGGAAAGCTTCTTTCACTCTTCGACGTCACGTCTCTCTTGGAAAATGGCGGGCAATTTAGTGAAGTCTTGTAAAAACAGGACGAAAAAAAGGAGCAAGACGTTTTGCTGCTTACTCCTATTTTATTTCTTATACGTAAATCTCATTTAAAAAACAAAAAGTTATTTTTTTTAATACGTAAAGTAATCAATTATAATGTAATTCGAGAAACCTGAAATCTATTTATGGAGTATATATATATATATATATATATTGATTTCAAGTTTCTCGACTGTCAAAAACTATAACTGTGGATATAACTAATATAATAATATTATTTTAGTTATGTATACTTTTTTTTTTTCTTTCTTGTATTTCTACTGATCAGGTGTTCAATATAATCTTCCTTAGCTGTGTTAATAGAACCTTCTTTTCCCTTCAGTATGTATTTGGATGGCATTGTGAGATTGTCTACAACAATCATAGATTTATTTTATTTTTCTTTCTGCATATAAGTGATCTTGGTTTTTCTGCTCTTATGATGGCTTAATTGGCGAAATGTTGGCGAGTCAACTATTGAGTGGTTGAGGTGAGTGGTTTGTTTCAATATAAATATATTTGTCTAATGTTTCTCATTTGAAAGATGTCAAAAAATAATAACAGCAGCAATGATGAGTATTTTTTATACATATTGATTTTTCTGGACATATATATTGTTTATTAGCTCGTATTCGATGAATGGTCGCAAATTATTTTTATCATTTGACATGCTCCTTAATACAAAGAGAATCGTACCTCTTCCTCTAGTTTGAATTAGTTTTTTTCCAATTCAAGATGTTTATAGCGATAAAATTCGATCTTCTTAATGGTTAATTGATATTAATTAATGGTCATCATTATATCCTATACGTGCATTCATTAACTTTAGACAAACGCTAATCTATATTTTAAATATTGTTAGTGATGTACCACATTATTTCCAATTCAAATCCTCAGTCCATTCTCCAACCATGAGATTACGACCTTCTGACCTTTACATCCCTCAATTTCTGGAATTCCTTCCTATTAAAATTCGGCATGCTCCCTCCGCATGCTTCACATTCGAAACTCTTCTTTTTCCAATTTCTGTTCTAAAAACAGCCAGATACCTGCTCATTTTTCTACATTATAAATGTATTTCATGTCATTTATCATCAAACGAATGTTCTTTGCTAGGAATATTACAAGAATTTTCTGCTCTTAATGCCATTCAATGCATCTATTGTTTTTATTACTATTATTTTTTATATACTCTTAAATTATTACATGTCTTCACGTTAATAAATGACCATGCTTCTTATGATTTACATATTATCTAGTATTTACACACTTAATGCATTTTATATTAACAGATTCAGCATTCTTTTTTCTTAGATATGTTATATTATGTTATTTTATTAAGTGATGTTAGAAATATATTTATATTACATACAGTTTTTAATTTTTTTTATTTAGCTAGTCCACTTATTTTTATTTTTATTTATCCTTTAGGTCAGTAATAATTTTTTTTTTACGATTTTGCTATTCTCAAGTGTAATTACTGTTGATAATAAATAAAAGCGATTGAAATATTTATTGTGCTTGTAGGCCTGTATAGTTGTCACGTATCCCTTGTAGAGTGTAAATCGATATAGGCTCGATACGTTGACCTTTGAAAACGATAGTCTTAATTTCATTTTTACAGTTAGTTATTCCTTTTGGCCTCGTGTTCTTCTATCCAACGACAATTTTCATTTTGGATAATTGATTGTGAAAGTAATCGAAGTATATATGTAATGCCTAAGCATTAATTTCACATGATGTTGTTCTAATTTTTTTTTCTTAAATCAGGCATGAAGAAATATAGAATAAGACACTGTGCTCCTATCTTTCGTTTCTAGATTAAGGACTGACTGTGTCAGACAAATATTTATTCTGTTTCATCAGGTGTGGGTCGATATTGGAGTCAGGTGACTCTCCTGTGGCACACTCATGCTCCAAATTTTCGTATTTTTATCAAGAGGAGAATCTGACTGTTAAGCTTGATCTAGCAAGATCATCTACTCACGCAGCCGTTGGCCTAAAATGAGCACTTCCTCACTTAGTACTGAACACAAGAACTTTCCTTCATGTATTGTAGTGGTACTGTTTTTTCTGTATTGTTGGAGATTGTTGTGTATTATAAATATATCATCATTTGCGAATTGAAGTCGTTTTCTTTTACAGCTTGTTACAACAACTCTTGTCTCAATAAAAAAGTTTTGTAATCGTACGAACATCGTGTCTGCCCATCTTCGGCCTTGTTGCAGAAGACTGGGCCACATAGCAATCTTTTTAATGCGGGCGTTATATAAGCTGCTCGACCTGCTGACCTTTTGAATATATTTTCGTGAAAATATCCGGTTCTGCATCTTCTCGTAATGTTAAGCAATGACGAGACGCCACTGCGTAAGAAGATTCCGGAAATTGATAGCCAAATTACTAGGAAAGTACCACTTACTTTGCTTGGAAATTATAATTGACTCACTACAACCTCAGACATCTTTCCTCCATTAATTTATGCTAATTACCAACTATGGTTAATTAATCAATTATTATTTATGTTATTACATCTGTAACTATATATATATATATATATATATACTCATAAATAAAGGAATATCTAAAGATGTGATATCTGCCCCACCTGAATCATTGTCAACGCTTTCTTTTCTTCCCACAGTGTTGAAAACTCTGCACTAAGCGTCTTTATTTTAACGTTCTCCATATTCCTAAAATATTGAATGAGTATCCGATTTAGAGATGGTTGACCGTGATATAATATGAGGAGTTGATCGGGAGTGCGTCAAATAAATAAAAATAGTATTTTAAATTATTACGCCTGATGATTAATTATTATCAAGTAATTATTACGGTAAGGGCGTAATAAATAAAAATACCATTTTTTAAAATTTAGTATTTATTTGACCGCACCCTCCCCCCCTCCGATCAACTCCTCAGAATATCCGTAACAGTAATAATCACATTTTATTTATTTTACTGTTGTTTGTTTGGGATTCAAGATGCATAACCCTAGAGACATCAACGCCTGTGAATCAGTTATTTTTGTTGTCTGTTGAGTTCAGAAACTCTTAAGAAGAGAGGAAAAAAGAACATATAATGAAAACTATTAATAAATAAATAGAATAAGAAATGGAAAAAAACTAAAATAAAAACTAATAATAATTAAAATAAAAAATTGTATTTATTTTTATATTTTATTTAGCAACATATGGATTTTAAGAAAATTTATAACTATTTTTATGTTTGATTCGTTGTTGTTTATTACTACTGATATATCCGGTCTTAGAGGTAAACTATTTGTTTGTTTTTTATTTTACAGTCTAGCATGTTCTTCCATGTTTCCTTAAATTTCATTTTTTTATTAATAAAGTTTGGTCTTCGGAGATTTATTTTCTTTATCGGAACTTGTTTTTAACTTTTCTCACTCACTGTGGGTTTCATTATTTAACACATATTAAATTATTTGTAACGGAACTTCAGTGAAAAGTAACTTCATATTTAATAATCCATTTCATTACATTGTTATTTCATTTTTCATTTCTTTTTTAATTTCATTAAGTTATTACTATAATTTTATTATTGTTTACTTCATCACTTTATTACGTTTATTTTATAACATTCTAAGTTTGTTCCATTATTTAATAAGTCTCTAACTTTGGTACCGCCATCTTATATATCCTATCTTAGCTACCGCTATTGTATTCCTTCTTTATTACCGTTATTTTATGCTTCCTTAGTTTATATATAATTTTTATTGATCTATATTTATATATCATCTCTCAATATTGATATTATATGTTATCTTGCCTCTGCTTAGCCCTGATGAAATCCTGAATCTTAGGCTGAATCACCAGTACAAATGAAATAAAAATAAATATAATTTATTTATTTTTATTTTGTATTATGACTGAAAATCCTATCCAACTGCTCTTAAATTTATATTTAACTCCTATTAATTCTATCAAACGCCATACAATTAAGGAATACGTGGACGATTTTGTTTTCTAACGAATACATTTGTTTATCAATACATAGGTAACATCATCATACAATCAGCAATGTACAGATTGAAGATGGGCATTGATCAACTATGGTGACTCTTATATTTTCATACGGCTCATTTCGCGTCAGAGATATTTTACTCAAACGCTAGGTATTTCTTAATCTGGTTTGTTTTTATTGGTTATCTTCGTTTTTGAACTTTATGAATTATTCACTCCATTCAGGTTGTTAGAAATATTAATTTTTATTTTTTAAACTTGTTTTCGTTTTTAATTAATTTTTAAAACCTCCGTTATGTTGTTAAATTGAGTAACACCGACAAATAAACAGCCGATATGTTACGGCCTAGTCCACCTCGGCTTGCTGAATCCTTATCTGGAAATGTTAAAGAGCAAGATTTATTGCTAAATGCTCTGCTAGTTATGTTAAACTGTACAACGAATTCATTCCAATGTGTTTAGAAACAATGGCAACATCAACTTCATCCCGCGTTAAAGCTCGTTGATTATTTATGTTTCTAGAAGAAGTGTTATTTTAAAAACATTTACAAGCATAAATCATATTCAGTACTTTCTAATAACTGTAGAAAAATAAGAAGTTAACTATTAAACATAAAAAAAAAATTGGCCAATTATTCATATAGTGTAGATTAAATATCACATAATTACATTAAATATTAGTTATGATTAATATATTGTTAATTACTAGTATTTTTTGCCGATGGAATATTTTTATTGCTATCCAAGCCACAATTTCGCGATTTTATGTTATGAATGATCAAATTCACTGATTAATTTACTTGTGTTGTCTAGGTATGCGTATATGTTTTAATCGAATACCAAATATATTTATAAATAAATCAATATATAAAGAACCTAAGAGAATACATAAATAATAAATTATAGCAACATGTTAAAGTTTAATATTTTTTTTTACTTTAATAAAAAACCTTTGCTCTTGCATCTGAGAGGTTGATAACATTTTTGAACACACGAAAATAATAATTTTTCTTATAAAAAGATTAAATGGGTATAGTTTACAGTATTCACTATCTGTATGATTTATATAATTAAATAAATTAATGTAAAAAAAATAGTCTCAAAATGGGAAAAAAGTCACGAAATTGAATTAATATATATGTTTCAAAACTAAAGCAATTAGACACTTAAATGTCAGGAAATAACTAAACAGTGAATGTTCTGTAAATTTATGCATCAGGATGATAGAAAAAGACAAGATCATACAAATACATTAGAAATATCACATACACATCTTACATCAACATTATTAAAATGGACTAATCTAATAGTCCTATACTACACCACTATTTTTTCGTGCATCATGTATATCTCTGTCCTGAATTATTCAAACACTGGCTGTTTTAGTTATCCGATAAAAAAAAATATTTTTTTCACAATTGTTTTTTTAAATTTATGACTAAAAAACAATGTATGTCAGAAAACTTTCCAACATAAAAACTAAAATAAACTGTGTCAGTTCTATCATATCCGATATCGCACGCTGATCCCTAAGCTATTGACAGACACTCACCCGTCGGCGAAGGAGTTGCTAGGGTGGCTGCCGAGACAGCCGCCAGAACGGACAGCACCCAGAGGTACTTCATCTTCGCCCACGAACTGGAAATCGACTGGAGAGCGCGGCGGCCTGGAGAAGGTTTTTATAGCGAGCCAACCTGTCCACAAAGGGCACTCCACGCCTCTCACCAATCACCGTCCGTCTTTCAAGTCTCCTTGCATTTCATTGGTCCACGCTCTACTTTATTTATTTACTTTTTTACTATCTATCTCTTGGTACAAGGATGGTCCGAAATAGGCTATAAGAAAAATTGCCTAATCTTAGCTCGTGTATGGTAGGATTTTAACCTTGAGCTTCTTTCTTGTAATGGTTTAAAAAATTCTTTCCAGCTCATCAGTAAAAAAATAAGATGTTGCTAATCCGAATTCCTTGCAATCTCAGCCTTGGAACAGAAATACTGGAAATATTCCGGAGTCCTAGGATTGTCATTTGCATAAATAAGCACCTGAACCCCAACAACCTTGGAAAAAAAAAGCTTGACCAATACAGCAAAAAATGTGGGAAACCAGCTGCAGCAAAGAATAAACCGATGGTGGAGCATTGAAGTCTCTTCTGCAGCCACCTCATTGGAAAAGAAAAAAACATAGCCCTCCTTCAGAAGTTCGCAAGCAGATATAGGTATTTGACTCTTCATATTTTGAGTGTTTTCTTTTGTTGTTTATCTTAACACTCTAGCGTCTGATATTTAAAATAATAATATTCTATTCAAGATAATGTATGATTTCTCTGTCTGTAGTAATACAGGACGGTTTTGGTAATCCGCCATGGTAAGTTAAATTATTATCAAAAGTTAAATTTAAAATAATGAAAAAATTCCACAAACTAACGAAAATATATGTATTAATATTAAAATAATTAAATAATAACACATTTCAAACAAAAAAATATTTCTGTAATATATCGCTTAATGTACGTTGGGACTCTTACATTATTGCTAAAGAAAACGCCTTGCCTCTCAAATTGCTTAAAGGTACAGACTTCGGTACCCTCCAAGATAGATGGCACATGACCCCTCCCCATCTTCCTAAGATATTTTATTTCTCTACTCTTCTTAAAAACAGTGCAAACTAAAAATTAATTTTAAAATAATAGGTCTTATACAAAGACACTTTCAGTGATATGTACAATGCTTTTTTTTTTCTGTTGTCTCCTGATTTGAACTTTTCGATCAGAAAACTCATAACCCCAATCAAAATATGGCTCCTCAAAAATTCGAAACTCTGTCAAAATGTGGCCCCTCCTCAAAAATTTTGATGGCGCAACTTGCGCCATGAAACCCTATTGTGGGCATCCCTGTATTTCCCCATTCCTTTATGGCGTTTCTATGACTTATCTATAATGGAAAATAAAAATGGAATATAATACATTTCTTATGAAATAAAAATTAATATAAAATCCGTGTTTCATACCTGTTTTTGAAATTATCTAGTCCATCTTTACTATATTAAAATCTGCTTTGTCTTCCTTTAAAAAAAAAAACATTATTAAATTTGATAGTCACTTTGACTTTTCAGCTTATATATCTCTAGAAATTGGACAGCCCTCGTATCTCTGATGCACAAAAAATACAAAGATATTCCCAAACTTCTGAATGACCGCCTTGCTTTATTGTTTTCTTTTTAGTGACACCACAATACAATTTCGAAACTACCACACGAAACAATTAAAGTATTATTTAATGAAAACAGAGCCATTTCCATTACGCCTTTCGTCAGTTGACTTGATTTTTTTTTCTTTCTTGCACAGAAAGAAAAAAAAATTGTTCCTAAGAGTTTAGATTATTGAAACCGTTCTGTATTCAGTAAATTACATTAAAAAATCAGAAGAATAAATGTGGAATATTACATTTTTTGAAGAATTATAAGAAAGATAATTTGGAACATAAAGAGTAAATAACTTAGTTCATAAGCCTCTGACTTACTCTAATAACTATTATTATTTTTTTTATAAATCTTTACTAAAAAAACAACGGAATTTTTCAAGAAGATATAAAACTTTATTTTCATAACAATTATGATTTTTTAAAAATGAACATATTCGTTATCAATAAACGAATGATATGTATATCTAAATTTAAAAACCAAATTAACAACAATTTTAATATTTACTATTCATTAGTATTTAAAGTCCTTAAAAAAGGTTAAATTAAGTAAAATAAAAAAAAAATTAAGCTAAATAAATTGTTTTTTCTCTAGCATAGGGAATAAAAGTTAATATCTGAGTATCAAATTTTATTGTTGTATCATTATTTACTTCAATAATTCCATGAAACGACACTCCGTTGACTGATGAGGCTTCGTGTTAGAAGGCAATGCCAAAATATATTTAGTAATCAACTCTTCTAATATTAACTCGTAATTTCATTAAGAACACTCCAGAAACTGAAAAACTTTATTGTGGCCTGATATGAATCAATTTAATCAATAAACTTTGTTTATTTTAATGATAAGAAGTTCTATGTACTCTTATCATCATTTGTGATAGGGCAACAAAAGAATAATTGCAATTTTCAAATATAATCTTATACGCAAGTAGAATCACGCAATTAAAACCGGATTCTTCATTCCATGAAGGAATATATTTATAAAGAATGTATTTGTAAAATATATAGCAAAAGGTTATATAATACTCCACTAACGCAAAAAGATCATTTGATAGATCGCAATCAAATTCATTGAATACGATTGGCTGAAATAACGACATTAAAAAATTACGATTTGTCTTTTAGACCAAACGATAGAAGTGAAAACATCAACTAAGAAAGGTTAATAATATGAACTATAATTTTTTTTTTTGTTCTATATTCATAAATTAATAACATTTACTATATATACAATTGTAATTGTATATAAATTACTTTAGTAAACTTTACAATAGGTATCATCACCCAATTATTATAGCTAGAATATATGATATATACTTTTCATTGAAATATATTTGCTAAATATCTAATGAGAACTAATTTTGTCATTTTTATTCATATAACCTATGTAACGGAGTGAAATGAAAATTTGACTTACTTACATTATATGCAGATCTGAATTTTAGTTTTTGAGATATTTTAATTCAAATGTTCAACGAAACTCTTTATCATTTCGTTTTCGGGACTATATTTCCCTCTCTCTAATTCGACGTCACGTTAAGATACAATTTTGAATAACAGCTCATTACTAAGAAAATGAAATGCCGAACATTTATCCTGTGCATGTCCGATTTTTAGCTTCTGAGATCTTTTAATCCAAATGCAAAAAGAATTCAATTAGTCGAGGCAAGGCGACTTTGCCCGAATGAGAGTACCATATTCGAGCGCCTCAGACTCATTCCCTACCCCACCCAAAAAGTGCTAAGTGCTGCTAATGAAGTTTTCACTTTAGAAATATATATGTGAGGACACAAGTGATCCCAGAAAGTGCTAACCACCCCTAACCTTAGCAGTCTCGATTATAGCGGCGCCGATTCGAATTCGGCCTGGACGGATTAAAATTTATTTCGTGAACACCCCCCGTAATGAATCTCTTCCTTCCTAGGGTAGAATAAACCCTCTCATTATCCCTCTTACCCGCATTCCAGAAATGCTCTGGTACTGTGTTAAAGGGGGAAAAAAAAAGTATTTCAAAATGTCTAAATTAAATTATGTCAATTCCAAAAGTGAGAAAAACATCCGATAAATAAGGAAGAATATAATTCAAATCGATATTTCGATGAAGAGATCGAAAGTAGAGAGGGATGGGATGAATCGGTAATTCGTGACCTCCCTGGGAGGGTAACCTGGCGACCTGACTTTCTCTAGTGGGTGGGATAACGCGAACGCGGAGGCTGAAGCCGATGCCGTTAAGATCACCAGCCATCCACGGCCTTCAAAGTTACATAATAATTCCAAAGAGGTCTCAAAAACTTATGTGACATCACCTGTTTATAGACCTACATGGATTATTGTCGATTTTAAAATTTATTAGATCTTAAATTAAATTTAGATTACCTTGATATAAGCAAACTCAGTAGCAATAATAATATATTTGTGCTTCATATTGAGCTACCTTTCTCTTTTTTTTTTTTTTTTTATCTTCAGTCTTCGCTTTAATATTATTCCGAGTCATAATACCTCTGCCATCCTGATCGCATGCCCAAGCCATTTTAACCTCAATTCAATCGTGAGTAGATTTTTTCATTTTAATTATTTATTGGAATTTTAAAATCTGGACAATCAATAATAATTATATGAAAAGACTTGTCGAGATTCTACCCAATGGTTGCACTCCCTAAATAGTTCTAAGAAGATCCTCAGGCAGACGCCTTGCGGGATTATCGGGTGTCGAGGAGTAAGCAAGGTAGGAAAAAGAGTTGGTTCAGATGGGTCTGAAGTTAATCATGAAATGATTTTTGGATCGGACTAAATCAATGACATATGAAACATGGAAGTTTTTATGAATGATTGTATTTGTGATAAAATATGGAGCATTGTAGATTTTACAAAGGATTTTGGATTGTAAGGATTGAATTCGATAGGAATTCGATGGTTGGGTGGAACCCCAAACCTCAACTCCGTATTAGTCCGTGATACAGACCCCTTTTTATGAAATTATTGATATCCACTTGAAACTTCGTGAATAACTTTATCTCATCAAGTATTTCATTTTTGAAAATTCTCTGAATCTGGACGTTTTCAATCTGGAGATCGGCAAACTTAGTCTTTTTACTTAGATACTAAACACTTATGAATACTCATTTGCTTTCCACTTAAAACGTAAGAAATCATCATAAAAAAAATCAAGAAAAAAGTGGCCTACAAAAATATTGCCTGTTTGGCCTCTATAACCTTGTTATTTTGACATTTTGGGGGTAAAGGTCACGCCAAAGGGCCCTATATTTTTGTATGCCACTTTTTTTGTCTATTTTGTGATGATATTATCTTGCGATTCAAGTATGAAGCAAATGGGTATTTATAAGTTTTTATTACCTAGTTAAATACACAAAGTTTGCCGATCTCCAAATTGAAAACGCGCCAATTCCGACAATTTTCGCATATATAATATTTGTAGATTACGATAAGATAAAGCTATTTACGAAGTTTCAGGCGGATGTTAATACTTTGATAAAAATGAATCTGGACCACGGACTATATGTCCATATATGCCTTATTATAGTGATGTAAATGAGCATTATGTAAGTAATTAAGTCTAGTAAGTGTTAGAACAGCCGGTAACTTCTAGCAGTTTCTTGTCGTTTCAGTCTTGTATGTGGTTACGAAATAAAACGTTTGTCCAAGTGAAGTTCTTGGTAGCGGTTTTGTTCAACAGAGGTAATTATATGTATTATTATAGGATACTGTATGAAAAGAAATCGTTGGTTTACATCGGATAAGTTATTATTTAATTTTGTTTTAGGGGTGGAGGGCGAATAAATTGAAACAAACATATGTTTAACATATAAAAATATGTATGTATCATGATAATATTTTTAATTAGGCTTTCAGTTGGAAAGCAAAAAATGCGAAAGAAACGAAAAGTGTATTAATTACACTAAATTTATTATACTAAGATTGTCGTATTTCTTGGCATAATTCATGTTCCAAGTCATCCCTCCGTCATTCATACATCTCTTGAGCTCCTTCAATTCAAATCCTCGGTTCGTTCCCGCAATACACGTTCCCGGTCTTCTGATTTATTATTTATTTATCCGATCCTCATCCCTATGGAACTCTATCCCTTCCTACATCTTTCGCTCCAATACCTTCCCTACTTTTAAATCCCGCCTGTTCAATTTCTTATCCATCCAGTCCCCATAAAATTTCAAATATATATATATATTGTAAATATGTATAAAAATTATTAGATCGTTCTTAATTATTTTTACTTCAGGCTTTTTCAATTTTGTTTTTTATTATTATCTAATTAATGTTAGAAAGTAACTTATATATTTTTTTATTATGACTATTTATTTACTTTGTGTTTTAATTTATATATCTCTGAGTCGCCTCAGTCTTCCTGTATTATTATAAAGAGACTCGTCCCAGAATAAATAAAGTATTACTATTATTTTCAAATCATAATCTATTGTGACATCTAAAGAAATTCGTTATTTGGAATTTTACCTGGACCAGATACTGACATGGAGAACTCATATTACACTGAAAAGTAAAAAACTGAACAAATAATATGTTCCTTTATCCAGATTATAAATATACAAACCTTCTAAATTATCCTAAACTAACAAATTTACCAAACACATATTACTTATAAAACCTTTATAAATATACAGTAACAATCTCTAACATCTTCAAAATTCAATCTTTTCGATCAAAAGTATTTCGAAAAATAGTAGACATTAATTTAGTGGGGAATACTATGAACTTGTAACACACATTCGAGTGTAGCAATAACTCTCTTATATCAGCTATAGATTGATTCTGGGATCGTGGGATTCTGTTTTACCTCTATAAAGTGGGTACCTGGTCCTTGCATGGGAACAAAAATGAACCGGTGGTCGATCGTGATTCTGGCCAAATCAACTCTTTGCCTAAGCGTACGTCAATGCTTCGTAAGTTTTAGATGTATTGGGTTCCTTTATTGTTTTTTTATTTTGTTTGTCAATAATCCTACTTAAGGTTACAATCCCTTTTGCTATGAAATTATGTATTACGTGTGTGTATGTTTAGAAATAGCAAAGTTTATTGGTTTTAGTTTAATATTTAATTAGTTATTAAAACATTAAACTCTGCTTGCATTTTCAGGGGAGTCATTAGAGGCCGCAGTAAGGTTGGGCTGTGCTAATGGATTTTATATTTTATATATTTTACTGTTGCTATTTTTATTTATCACTAAATACACACACTAACATATATTATATATATTCAACTTAATATATTAATTTACTAATATATTATATTTAATATATTTAATAATATAATATATTATATTTAATAATATAAATACATACACTAACATATATTATATATACATATATTCAACTTAATATATTAATTTACTAATATATTATATTTAATATATTTAATAATATAATATATTATATTTAATAATATAATATATTATATTTAATAATATAAATACATACACTAACATATATTATATATATATATATATTAAACTTAATATATTAATTTACAAATTATATTAGCCTAAACAATTAAATATTAATTAATTCTAGGGCTAGATTAATAAATATCGTGCAAAAGATTTTGCAGACCGCAGCTAGCAGGTTTCTTACCTACCTTAGATTAATGTATTGTTTGAAATAAATACTGATCTTTGTTCAATATATTCTGATATGTTATTATTAAATAAAAAAAAATATTTTTTATATATTTCTTGCTAAAAAAATATTTTTTAAACAAAAATTTTCTTTATAAAAACATATTTGTTATATATATATATATATATATATATATATATATATATATATATTTCTTTATTATATTTTTTTCTGTTTTACATTTTATTTTATGTCAATCTCACTTCTTTTTATTATTCTAAGTTATCCTATTTTAGTAACTACATCACCCCATTTATTTTATGTCTAACTCTTATATTTTTATCTCATAATATTCCATTACGTTTCTTTGTTAATTAATTTTTTATTTCTTTTTGTTACCTAATTTCATGTTTATTTTATTCATATCGAGTTCTACCTACCCATTGGTTTCTCAACAAGCGTTTTCATATGACTGTATTATTACTGTACAATTACTGCCTGTATTTTTAAATTTAGAGTTGTAAATCTCGTGAATAAAAAAAAAAAATTAATCCATTATAATTATTTCATCAGTCTCCTAATTTGTTGCCGATATTATTTATTTCTCAATTCCCTCCTTGTTCCTGTAATATTATTATTTTCTTTTTAATGTTAATATTTTTTCATACCTATTATTATCTGGTATTTGCTTGGCCCTGAAGACGGCTTGAACTTTGGGCCTAAACTTCGGTAAAAATAAAAAGAAATATTTACTTTTTATTTTTTTGACTGAACAACTCAACCAACTTCTATTCAATTTTCACTACAGTCAACCATCATTCCACTATTATAAAAAAATGTTTAAATAAAAATACATATTTTTTAATCATAAATATATTTAGTTAATTACATATATAGATATAATTTACCCTAAATCTACTAGGTCTATTTCTCGAGTTCTTCTTTTTTATGTACAACTCCTGGGACGCAGAGACACTGCGCCAGCGGCGGACATGGCCCGCAGAGTCCTGGAGAAGTCGTCGGACTCGTTATTGTGTCATCCATGTCTTCTGCAACGTATATTTATCCATGTAGTCGTATCTAGGATAATATTCAACAAATGTACAGCCAGTAAAATGGGCAAGGATTAAAAATTCGTACAGTTGTACTTTTAAGACTGTAGTAAAAGCGTTTTATTTTATTTTATTTTTGGTATAAATATGATACTATTAAGCCACTGTGGATTCCTGATATCTGAATAACAAGCTCATCATTCCAAAAAACATTCACTTTCAACACGCTTCGGAAAAGGAATCATCCAATAAAATAAAATTGATACAGTAAATTAAAATAGAATAAAATTCGGAATTATGAAATGATATTACAGCAAAAGACTACAAAAGTAATTATCTACTGATATTAAAAATCAATTATCTGACATTGCTATAAATTAAGAATTGCAATCTTGTTAAATGCAGAATTAATTGTGTAATAAAATGCAATCAATGTAGTTACTATGAAATTCAACCAATGGTACTAAAATGAAATAAAATCAATGGTATTTTATTTCTTTATTGAGTTACATTACATTTCGCCATAAGTAATAAGGTCAAAAGGGCGTTATTAATTATGATTAAGAATTTTATCTACACCATGTGTGCAATAAATTACATGGAATAATAACAAAATATTAATACTATATATAAACAAAAAAAGTATAACTTAAATACCGGCATGATTATATACAATATTTACAAACATTCATTCAGGGAAACTCTGAGCCAAACCTTTCTTTCCCACATGTGGAGGGAAATGGGACTCTACTCCTAGATCTCCATCCCAGCGATTGCCAGAATTCCAATATATGATTATTTCCAAAAAGTTCTCGGGGTCTCTGCCGCTTCAACCTTCTAGCAGGATTGTAGGGATAGGTAGAACTAGATAGGGATTTTGCAAGAAGGTTTGAATGATGAGTGGGTTCTCGTGGAGTTTGGAGTATTTTTCTGGAATAAGGTTTAGGACAAATGGGTTATAGGGTCATCGAATATTATTCGAAGGACTTTAGGCTGCATCAAACGCATCTAAGATGTTAACAAATCTTGCTGTCCCCCACAGTTCCAGCCCATAGGTCCAAATAGGTTTGAGGATTTTCTTTTAGATGAGTGGTTTATTGTCAATAGAAAGTTGAGATTTTTTATTCATTAGTCTATATAGCTGGTCTATTAATCAATCCATTAAAATAGTAAATTTCATTATCAACAAATATGTGCAGGTAAGTGGAAAATACAACTGTACAATTCAGCAAACTGTGAATTATTCAATAATAATGAAAGATACTATTATCCTGTACTATGATACTATTATTATATTAAATTAAGATTATATATCAAGTTGTAGTATATCCTCTTAAATTTTATCTTGTGCTTATATAACAACAAAAGCTGTTAAAAATAAAAATAAAATAAAATAAAAATTGATTGTGAATTTGTATTGTATTTCATTTTAGCATTTATTTTATTGGCTCCTTTACTAGAAACAATTGATGATGGTCTGATTGCAGAAACATCTTGAAAATGATATTTTTTGTAGTGGTTAAGTTATTTTTCCGAAGTCAGGAATTGCCCGTAATTTACTTATCTTCACCTTAAGCACTAATATACATTGTATTTTACTTTTGCAAAAGAGGTTCAATATTTAAGACGTGAGAGTTACAAATATCTCTGTAAATAAAGCGTAAAGTATCTTAGCTTCGACTATCAAATTATTTTCTATGCTTCATTCACACTTTCGCCTCTGCTCATACAACTCTCTTTTACTCCTTAGATCTTCTTTTTTTTTAGGATATCAGTCGATTTAGAAAGCCTTGCTAATCGAATAATATCGATTAGTCAAAACTTTGCCAAGGTCAACAATAATTTATCATGAAAAAAAAATAATAAAACCTAAAAAATCTCAATAACGTTACACTGCGGGGAAAAACAGTATTTTAATTATATGATGGTTGATATTTTTTCTACAACAATGCGGAAATGTTTTTCATTTTTACATAAAACCGCAATCAATTTTTTTTATTTATTTTTTTTTTTTACCTGCAACAGTTAGGCTCAATTTATTTTATATCATTTAACAAATTATTGTTTTCAATCGGAGAAACCGATTAAAAGTGGTATTCCTTTCTTTCTTGCCACACCTCATTCCGTATAAGGTTTCACCTCGAACTAATTTTAATTAAATTTAAATTACGATAATAAAATGCAATATAATTCTCTAATAATTATAGTAATAAAACAATATGATTCTGTTTTAAAGTATGAAAATTATCACAAAGAGAAAAAAAAATGTAGTGATTAACTTAAGGCGGTTTCTGATCATTCTATTCCTCGCCAAATGAAACTTGAAACAATCCGTGAGTGTGAAATTCTGTGGATTGTTATGAGTGATTCCACCCAGTCTAAATTCAAATTCCAATCATTTTAACCCACCGTGAGTGTAAAAAACTGATGGAATGATAAACTGGACATTTTTTTCATATTTTTTTAGTCTGTGCTAAAATAATGATAAAAATTGTTGGTCATTAAATACAGTACTGTAAAGATTTACGATATCGTTTGTTAAAATGTGTTATTAATATTATATACTAATTACTCAAGATTTTATTTAGCTTTTTTCCTATTAATTTTGTTAAAAAACATAAATATCTTTTATGTTTAAAAGTTTCATATTTTTTATCAATGATAACATCACTATAATTATATTATTTATTTTGTATCTAATAACCATAGAAGCTTTTGGTGGCCTGCACCATACTCATCTCTACAATTAAAACATATTATTAGTCAATAATATTAATAATTAACAATTCATATATATATTACATACTTTCTAATTATCTTGCAAGTATCATAATATCATAACGTGCCTTTATCCCTTACTTTTCTATATAAAAAAGATAAAAGATTTGAACAGTGTTCGTTCTTCGCTTCATGTTATATTTAAAATGATTTCAGATTGAAATTGATGTTTATTTAAATTAAATTAAATTTATTTACTGACTTTTCCGAGAACAAGGCCATTGTTAATTGTTAATTTTAATTATAATGTGTTGTAATTATAGATATGAATATGATGTGGGTCACTGAAAGCTTTTCAGGGTATAATATTTGAAATAAATAATATAATTATAGACAGGCTGTCATTGTTGAAAAATCCTGATTTTCCTAAGAGTTTTTATTATTATTTTTTTTCTGTTTCGCGCCTTACTCTCAAGGGTCATTGGCGTTTTACTACGATTTATATTATTTCATAATACTCTGCTAACTTTAAAAATTTAAACTAAGTATTGATTCTTTATTCAGTATCTTGAAGAATTTCTCGTAATATTTTGGCTAAGCCTGTTTTTCATCTGTAATTTTCAAATTGAGGACATTCTTCACAGTATGTGTTTCACTGTTTGATTACATTTTTCACACGCGGGCGCTTCGAGTCCTCTCAGAAGGTAGCCATGTGTAATCTGGCAGTGTCCTATCCTTAGTCCGCAAAGCATAACTTTTTCTCTCCTTGAACTTCTGTACCTTGTGAGCCATTTGTCGCAATTAGGTTTTATTTTTGTCATTTTTTATTCTTTCCTTTTATATTATTTTTCCCATTCTGTTGGTAGTCTTTTTTTTTCGTGGTATACTCAATCTTCTAACTCAGTCAGGTAACTTTCTTTAATTTTATCTCGGCCGTTCTTCTTCTTCACTCCTTGCTAAATGGGCTGCGCGGTCAGATTTTTCATTTCCCGCAATGCCGCAGTGGGATGTTACCCAAACAAATACTATTGATATGACTTTGTTTTTTACTACCACCATACATTTATTATTTCTTTAATAATAGAATTACTTGGGATGGGTTGTCGATGACAACACTCCAAGAGTCAGTTATATTAATCTGCACGCTGAAATATCTATGGACTGTAAATATAACATACGTATTCACCAACTTTTTACATTATATGAAAAAAAAATACGTGACAAAAATTTCCAATTAGATGTTAGGTTATAATTCATAAATTATACCATCTCATATTTCATTAAATTATTTAATTAAATATATACATGGTGTTCTCTACCTCCGGGAAACAGAATTAGAAAAATCCAAACATTATGCCTCAAAAATACAGGCAAATAACTCGTTGACGTATCGCATATTCAGGTGTCAGGTAGAAAAAAAACTAGATCACAGATTCCATGCCATCCAAACACACACTGACATCCAATCAGTGTGTGTTTGGATGGCATGGAGTGATGTTATATTTTTTTTCTGTCCTGAAAATGCCTGAAATGGCTATACGTTGACGGGTTATTTTGTTTTTTTAAGTGCATTTCAGAGATACAAGATTGTGTAGTTGGATTTTCCAGTTATAACGTAACATCTATTTTCTGTATCTTGGTGAGTTTTTATTCATTTATATTTATTTATCAATTAGGTTTTAATAAAATTGAGTAAAATTAAGAATTTACTCTCTTACTTTCAAAATAATCTTCATAATATTTAGAAATAATGTTTTTAATTAATGTCTGGAAATGTAGTATTTATTATTTCGGAATTACAAGAATTGCCTGTATGAGCCTGAATAACTATTGAAAAAAATATATTTTGATAATGATCGTCAGTGGATCCCTTAAATTCGTCTTCACTTTAAACACTTGATGAAATTAAAAGAAAAAATGGTGAATTTATATTTAACATAAATACCGTTATCTTTAATTTAACACACATTAAGGTCGATAAATAATTTTGGTTAGCTTTTTGGATTAAATACTGCACCGTATAACGATGTAAATGTAATTTTTCTATGAATTCTAAACAAATTTAATCTTCCATCGTTAATTTTATTTTTTTCAATACGGATTTGAAATGTATATATCCGATATTACTTTAAACATGAAAATTATGAGTTCCTTCACATAACCGATTATTGAATTCTTATGGATATCTTATTAATTAACAAATTTTATCTCAATTTATACATGAAATAGATATAAAGAATGGTATGGAGTATTAGAAATTGAATTGGAGTGGAAAGATCACCTGGAAGTGACTGAACGGAAGCGAGGAGTATGATGGCGATAACGAGCTGAAGGTACCTCATCATGGTTTGACTGATAGCGTACTCAACGTTACACAGCCTCCTCGATCTTTATACAGGAGGCAGTGTACAGCAGCAGGATGGGCTGTCCATTGTCAATGGCGGTAATGATCCAATCTACCAGTCCTCTTTCCTGCCATTTTATGTTCCTGTTATTCGCATTACAACGAATGACAACACAGGACAGATTCTACAATTCGATTGTAAGCTACAGGTCAAAGACTTGCGCATACGAAATCTATGATAATTGGCAGATTTTATTGTTATGATTCGGTGGAGATGGTGTTTGTATGTCCGCTCCGATATTCTCGAGTCTAGTTGTACTGGTTTCAATCAGGTAATGATCGGTTGGAATTAATTTTGCTTGAGGTATCGTAAATTAGCACGTTACCTGTGGTTACGGTCTTCGGATTCCGATAATTCGAATTACTTCGACCGGGATTGTTTCAAATTTTTCCTATCTTACGAAGTCTCTGAAATGGTCAATTTTTAAAAATATTTTAATGGGAGTTGGATTAATGTAAAGATAGATACAATCGTAAATAATCATTGCTTCTGATATAAAGCTACAGGACGCCGAAGACCTTAACCGTAGCTAACGCGTTAATAACGAGGCTGATGCTGTAAATATCTTTTTATTTTCATTGCATACATATTTACTTTTTATCACCATCAATGCAGCATTAGGGCGGTGAAAAAGGTCAAATTTTAATAGCAAACGTAAAAAAATTGTTGCGTACCAGGGTGAAGGGTTAAGGCCCTTCCCAATCCTATCGATAAAATAAGGATAATTCAAAAGGATACATTTTAAATAAAATAATCTTTTTTCACATGAATAAACCTTTCTTGTTTTAATATAAGCTTAATTTCCTTTAGTTTGTTATAGCTGTTATAGTTCACGCCTAAAGAGCTGATTCCCATAGGGGACCTCTTGTCTTATGTTTAGTGTTGCCAAGACCAGGACTGTTAAAAGAAATCTATTTTTTGAATAAAATTTAAGGCAAAATAGTTACTAATTCTTTACTTACTATATGTAAATAGTTAGTATAACCAATATACTTTTGCATTTAACTCCTTTAATTTCTCATTCTGGCTAAGTTAAGTTTCTCCTATCTAAAAAATTACAGTAATATCTCTATAGCAATAAGCTAATGAGTAATTGCAAGGCTGTTGTGAGACTCTTGCGCAAGACCAAGACCATGACCAAGACTGAGTTTGCAAGGCCAAGACTCGTCTCGGTCTCCCATTTGGGCAACACTACTTATGTTGTATCAAAAGAGTGATTTATTGAAGTTAACAAGTAAGTTTACAAGAATATTGGTATAATACTTACAATGGGTTGGTGATGGTTGTTGTAGAGAGCTGTCGTAGCATGTATTACTAGCTTTGAACTGTATATATTTAAAAGAGAATCGATTATGACGTCGAAGGGGGAAGGGACCGGTCCCATGGTACTGAGGGGATCAATCGTCTATGAAAGTAAACTGAAGAAGGAGATATGAAAGATCAAACATCATATATGGTGGTCCTTCATTGTCTCTTCATCTGAGAAATCTCAATCTTTATCTTAAATAAATTATTTCTAAACTTATGTGGGAATCAATCATGTGAACACTTCATAACTATCTGTACTTTGGAGGGCAAATCATAAAGGTCGGCAGCTATCTCGACAACACCCCCTCTTCTTCTACTACCTTCTTCAGGACATTTCCACTTTCACAGCTTCAACATACTTCTTAGGTAAATCTTGTTCCTTTTTTTTACTTAGGTTCCTGAAACGAATCATCAATCCACGTACTTGAATAACCCAACTTTACCATAAGCCAAAAACAAAATTAAAAACAATGGTAATCGTTTTTTCGATATTCGTTTGATTTTGCTCCTTCACTGAGTTCCTGAAGGTCATACCGCTAATCAACATTACTACATTAACGGTTTTGTTGAAAGAGAAAGCGTCACGCGTCTGGAGGGAGCTGGCAGAAAAAGCCTTACAGCAATATTTTAGTACTCCGCTTTAGGAAGTATACAACGTCTAGGAAGAGGTGCTGCTGGGTACTATCTTTCCTCATGTCTATAATGCCAACCATTATTTATCACAACAAACACCATGAGATAGATATTTGAAGAAAAAATAGCAACAAAACTAAATGTAGAACATCTAATAGAATAGGTATACAGATTTCAGACAGGGTTCAGTCATGTTTTGGGGTTGTGGTTCATATCCTCGTGTCCAAAGCTTCAACTTATGATATATAGTGGTGATCAGGAATAAAATAAACATCAACATCCTTCTTACCAACTTTTAATATGAACATTTATGTTTATCGTGCAGACTGTGGGAGGTTGTCCGAGCAGATAGGATCTCCCAATGGAGTTCCAGGATCACAGAAGCATTGAGCACCATCTGGACAGGGTCCACAAACAGGCTGGTAACAGTTAGGAGGTAATGGTGTAGTCTTGCATCTCGCTAGAACATAAACATTTTATTATTGTCATCGCATAGATCTACATTAACATAGTTATAAATGACAAGCCACTCCCGTTTTAACTTTCGGAAAGGATTATTCGGGATTGCCGTAGCTGTATTAGGATTCAGCAAGAGGGTTTAGTTGATGAATAAGATTCTGGTGAAAGTTTGTAAATATGAATGAGATAATTTCAAGTACATACGAGATGGTTTAAGGTTGGAATGAGATGATGTAAGTTCTTCTTTGTGACATAATATGGGTCATAATATTAACTATTGTTCGAGGAACTTTGGACTGGAAGGATCGAATACGTGTGATATTCAAAAATTTAGCTATCCATTTGAGTTCAAGACAGTAGGTCCAGAAATGTTTCAATATAGTTTTTTAGATCAATATTTTTTATTCAATTGAAAGATAAAATTTACCGTTTACAAGCCCGTATAACAAGCCAAATCACCGGTTAATCTCTTGCATTTTAATCGACAAGGCAAAATTCTTGGTCTTAACTAATTAGGTAGGTCGTATCTGACTCAACTCTTTTTGTGGTTAACTAAATTTGAATCCTTTGAGAAACAAAATTATTAAACAATGATTTATATTTAAAATGATATTTTATTGCAATATATTCCTTACATTTCTTTCGTTTTCCCGAACAAGGCGGACAATCTATAACATTTTGGTGTATAGAATTTGGTAATTCTCGGTAATTTTTTCTGGATAGTTTAGGATCCATTTATTCATGGAAATATTTCTCGCTTTATTTTATAGTTTTTCACTATTGTTACGAAAACTTATTAAAATTTCATATTTATTATTAGTTAACGTTTAATTATTTTCTTAAAAACATTTTTCGAATCTTAATTCAAAACATAGCCAAATAAATATATAGTCATTATATTTATGTACAGAGAATAAAATTATGAGAAAATTTCCTGAAACTATAATCAACAAAGGAAAAGACATGGTACTTAGACAAGGTAGTATAAGCTTTTTAATATATTTCAATCTACTCTAACCTCTTTTTTCTAAATCATCAAAACTGATTCTCAGACAGAAACTGACTCATGCACACTTACTTAAACCCATATGGACATACAGATTGCTAAAAAGACCCATCTACAAAAATATCCAATAAAAAATTGATTGCGACTCATCATAACACAAGCATGTTGGTACGTGGCTAACAAAACTCTACATACTGATCTCCACCTTCCATCAGTTGATCAACACATAACGACCCATTACTAACGATTTTATGCAAATTTTCATGGACAACCAACCATCGATTTTATACACATTTTAACGGACATGACAACAAATTAATAAGAAAAACAAAATAATAAGATAATAACAGATTAATATAATAAGAGACGTGTCAACAGTTGGTATATCTCAGAATATGAGGAGGAGACTAAAAAAGGCGTTGGATGAGAGATCTCCTTTCTTAGACAATCTAAGTAATTGAAATAAGTGAGGAAGAGATGTTGCTGAGTACTGTTCTTTCCCATGGCTGACATTTCATTATTTCTCGTATTTCAGCACATTTGTTGATTGTCGATACAAGTTGACAGGTGTAAATAAATATTTAAAACCGCCCAAAAAAATTTTAAGTTTCTGTTTTGGACTGATACAAAAAGCTAAGATAGCTCAAGAAATGCATTGTATCTTAAACCAATTATTAAAAAAAAAAAAGACAGGTTAGACGTGATCCTAGCGCAGATAATATGAGCTAAACTGGTGCAAGGAGAAAAAATACCCTGATATTGAATCTCATACTTGGCCAACTACAAGTACAACTGAGAGCAATCTTTAGGTAAGCTCATATTGATATTTATGGAGCACTGCATGACCATACTATTTTATTCATAACCATGGTTCGAATCCAACTAATTAAGTTTGATATCTGGGTTCCATGTCAGTCTTTTGTCTAAAAGGAATCCAAGATACCGGACTGTATCCGAAACGGGAAGTTGAATACAGTAAAAAATGATTGGAGGACAGAATCTGCGTCGGGGGTAAAAGTGACATGCTTACATTATTATTCATTAACTATACGCCAATTGTTACACAACTTAGGTGATATGCTAGTATACTTACCAGATTGTGCTCCTATGACCAGAAACAAAACATAGATGATGATGTTGAGGATGGACGCGAATATGGAAGCCATGGTCGACCGCCAGCAATATAGACGTCAGCACATCGAGGGTCCTTTATATACTGGAGGCGGTGGACAGCTCTTCCAATTATAATGCTATTTTTAAACATGCTGTTTCTTTCCCTGTAGAGATAAACCTGCCATTAGTGAAAGTATATAACTTTAATAAGAATAACATCTTTTGTTAATAGCTATACATAATTTAGGATTCGGTCTGAAAACCTACCTCCTCCCAAACTAGAAAAACATATATATTTTCATTGTTCCTGTTAATGATTTGTGCTAACAATCTCAATATGTTATATTTTTAAGTTATAACACATATACAGCTACTAAATGTAAATATGTGAGTCCAGAGATTAGCATCTCGACCACAAAAAATAAATAAATAAAGTCTTTAATTTTTATGATAAATACTGTTACACACGTAAAGCAGAAATTTCAATCTGACGATATGGTAGTTAATGGAAATTTAACTGAATGCTCACCTTTGATAAAAATTGAATGTTAAGAATGATTCAGATGCCCGGCCCTTCCATCTCTCACTTCTTCCATTCACCAAATTGTTGAAAATGTGCTCATCATGATTTGCTTTTTGAGACTCAGGCTTAACTGTGAAGACAGTGGTGCGGATAAAATGAAGGCCAATAAAATGGTGGTAAGGTCTGGTAGAAGACAATTTTTTGTTCTTGGTTCAAAAAAAGGGTTAATCCCTGTATAAGAAAAAAAAAGTGTCCCTAAAGTTTTTATTGTTGTAACAAATTAACGAAGTAACGAATCTGAACCTGTCCAACGTTACACATTCTTTACTTTAGATGGTGCCAGCGACATATCCTTTTTTATTCCAGAATACTAGCCGTTATGAAATCAAAATCAGTACGTGAAAGTAATAATATAGTGATGAATACGGTGAGAGAGAATTCTCAGTTAAAGGGAGGACCGTCTCTACTACTACAAGTAATTTTGTAGAGCCTCGGTATTGGAAGGGAGCATATGCAGACTGTGTTAGAAATTATTATTTGGATTCGTTATGAATCCTCCATCACTACATATTAATCTTTGCTTCCTTTATTCGTTTTTAACACATTCCTGTACTCTGTTCTTAACATATTTATTGTTTATTACTATGGTTCGGCATAATTCTCTTTTGTTTTTTTAAATAACACCTGTTGACTAGTGAGCATGCTATGTATTTTGAAAACTCAACACAGCTGAGCAGCTATGCAATACTATTGCAGTTCTGTTTCTCTCTCTCTCTCTCTCTCTCTCTCTCTCTCTCTCTCTCTCTCTCTCTCTCTCTCTCTCTCTCTCTCTCTCTCTCTCTCTCTCTTCTAGGATTAGTCTCAGATTCTCGTGTAGATAAATACCGAAAAAAGTGAGCAAAGATATACGAGAAGTATACATCAAGGAAGTAAACTGAACTTTGACTAACAAAGACCATCGGCTTCTAGACCAAGGACAGAGCCCCGGCACAGTTCGTTTTACTAAGCAGTCTCCCATGTCAGGTTGTTACACCTTTCCTTCTTCCTGGTCCTAAATACTCGTATATCCTTATCTTGATTTCAATTAATTAATTACATTGAATTTTGATTTACAGTCTTGCTTTCATCTTGTTAATAAGATAACATTGCATAAATCTTTTTGTAACGTAGACTTCCTTGGTTGTTTTTTTTTTCTAGTAAATATCTGAACAGATGTCTGCAAACCTGTTTGTTAAAATGGTTGATTCCTAAAAGATTTTAGTCCTTAAATCGAAACATCCCAGTCCAACAGAAAAGGGATGTAAACATTGAAATAGAAGAAATAGTGTACTCAAAAAGCACCGCTTCTAAGCAATAGATAATTTTATAAAATATTTATTAAATTTCAAACTATTGAGGTTGTCTAGCAGACAAATATTTTCCTAGTCATGCTAATGTTTTTGTTCTTTTTTTTTTCTTCTAAATGCAATCAGATTGTTTTCATCAGTTGTCATTTTTTTTATTAATTCATAATATTTACAACTGTATTAAAAAAAAAAACGCTGCAAATTATTTCACAATGGTTTATTATTTCCAAATAATTATACATCTAAAGTAACATTAACTTCCGAGTTACAAAGAAAAAAAAAACAAAAGGTGATTCCAATTATTAGACGAAACTGTTTTTCTTTAATCATTAGTAATATGCTAAAAAAAATAGCATTAGTTCAGTAACACATTCAAAATTTAAAAACCAAACCAAGGATATAACATTTGGAGTAGAACACATAAAAAAAAAACCGGAGACCATATCTTTGCTCCTAATTGTCCGATTTTAACGATTTTTTTTGTTCTTTTGGAAATTTCGTAAACTCTTAAAAAACCATACAATATCCACAAAAAAGTAAAAACTTTTCGAGTTATTCGGAATTTAAATATCCACAAAAAAGTAAAAACTTTTCGAGTTATTCGGAATTTAATATTACCATCCCTCGTAACTTTTTTTCCAGCTTCTTTTCGTTGAAGTATGTTATATAGATAAATTTAAAGGGTGTCGAAAAATGACTTTAGATAGTTTCACTGAAATCTGTACATTCGTTTAGGAGCTACAGTCTACAGCAACGCAGGTTTTTCGGCCACCATTTTGAAAGTTATAGGCGGAGTGTAATGTCGATGAAGGAGGATCATCCTCGGGTGACCTCTGATTTTATATCAAAATTTGAAAAAAAAATCGGTCCAGTAGTTTCTGAGAAAACGCGCGGATGGCGGACGGCGGACGGACAAAAAATTTTCTATTCGTTTTTCGAATTCTACGCGTTTTGAAACGTGAAACCTCAAATTTTGAGACGGGGTTATGTTTTTGAATTTTTTGGTCGATCACAATGTTTTATTATTGAAAATAATAAACCAAAATCTAGTAAATTAGTACAAGTGGATATAATGACATGAAAACGCTTGTTGAGAAATTGCCCACCAGTAGTACTCTAATTATATGGGCTCATTAGATCCGAGAGCCATATTGTTTTTGTTGTAATTTAGAGTTTTAGTTTTTGTAAAATTATGATTCTCCATTTCTCCATAAAATTTCCAATCTTCTTTGGATTCTCATTCATGAATATCTGTCACTACTGAGAGTCGGAAAATGGATCTATTCTTCGCATTTAATCAAATATAGTGTAAATTACTCTTCATTGCATGTATTCATTATAGTGTTCCATGTTTTAATATTCTTTAGAACATAATAATTTGAAATAAAATTAACTATAACAAAAAATGAATAATTCGCCACTAGGGCGAACTGACACTTCATAGCAGTGTCTGCGCAAAAAGCCAAACCCACAGAGATAGTAAAAAAGCTGCTAGGCTTAAGTCACAGCACAAAAACTCTACCTCTTTGGTGGAAGAGAATAATTTATCGGTCGGCTGGTCGTGAATGGTATCTCAAGATATGGCAGTCGTTGAGATATCTTTCTTTTTACTATATTAACATAGTTTATTGCTCAACTTATATTTAACAAATTAAAAAAAAAAAGTTTAACAATAGTTGCTTGATTCTTAATGGAGTAATATAATTATGGTTCATATAAGTTTCTCCACATGTTATGGATAAATAACATTTGCGCAGTTATTTATCAAGCTAGAACACATAGAATGTGTTAGATATTAACTATTGAGAATATTACCATAATAATTTGGTTATGGGTTACCTTGGATGTGATTGATTTGGAAACTAAATCAGATGTGATCATTAAATTAAGGCTTGGTACATTTTATGAGATAAATAATACATAAGATGGACCGTGACCAAATCCATATTATTAGACGGTCATTGTGAGAAATTAAATTTTTTATTGCATTGGCTATGTGGTTTATAAATCTATAGCTCTGTCCGTATAGTGTAATATGAAGTCGGTATGTAAACTTTTGTTGTTTTCGTAAAAAAGAGTTATTATTATTCTCAAATGTTTTTCGATTGAAAAATTGTATTTTTGTAAGTAAATTTGAAGTAATATTACTTGTTTCCAAATTGAACCCTATTTTATAATTTTTTTTATTTTTTATTATAAATCGAAAGAAATACCGATTCTCTAGTAAGAACAACCACTAAATGTGGTGCCGCAATATTTTTTTTCAAAGTTTTGTGAAAATATACTTATTTGTAAAACCGGATTATTTTTTTAAAAGAATGTAATAGCACTGATGTTTCTGAAGTAATATGAAAAAAACCCAGCTTTCTTAACCGTTTTATTTGATTTAAAATTAGAAGGGATAGAAATACAACGATATAACGATTTTACAGAGAATTCTCTAGCGCCGAATTCATCTCTGTAGTTTTCGTTGAGGTAAGGTATGCATTTAGTACAAGTTTCCTCTTTATCTGCCAGTACCTTGAAGTTCTGATCCTGATCGTTGGTTGTCGAATCTGATCGTGGGATCGACTATGAGTACCTCCCATTCTGTCGAATTGAACGTAAAGATGTCAACGAATCTTGTTCAGCCTTCTGTATCCAGGCAATAAACTTCGAGAAAACATTTATAGTTGCTCACTTCGAGGAATTCGGTTTAAAGTTAATTTTTTATTATAATTTTTTATATTATAATTTTTATTATAATGCTTAGCCTCGCCTCCTAGAAATAAAAAATTTCCATCTCCAAATCTGATCTGTTTCGGACTTTTTTTTTTTAAATGCACCTGGAAGTTTAATTATTTCCAAAACCGATCCTATTCAAATTTCAAGATTTTTCAATTACTATTTAAATATTCATAGATATTGGTTATATAACAATGATTGGAATAGAAAAAGTTTTTCGTGTTACCTAGAAAATTATCAATGAAGGTTAGGGTTCATTTTATAAACGAATGACTCAATTTATTTTAAGTTATACATAAGTTACTGTTGCTGTTTTCATTGTTATTAATTCGATGTTTTATTTTGTTGCAGGTGAGTACTGTCCCATTGATGGAACAAATGGATAACTTTAAATGGTAATATAAATTGTAATAATCGACTAGAGACTCTTGTTTCATATATTGCTTATCTTATAAGCATCATATAGTGGAAAGTGAAACAAAAATTCTAATATGTATTGTGCGTGTTGGTATTTTCTTACTTTATGTCACATTTTATCTAACCTGAAATTATTTTCATTGTTTTCTTTCTT